GTTACTCATTTATTCATACAACATTCAAGGTATATGCTCTTCTCAGAAGTGAGCACAGTTTCGTGAATGGATAGATAATATTAGGTCTGATCTTATTCTCCTTCAAGAGCTACATATAACTAAAACGGAACATTTGGAAACTTTTGAAAGTACATTTACCGATTACAATATCACTTGCAGTCTTGTAACATGGCCTGTTGGTGGTGTCTTGGCAATGTCGATGAAGAATCACCAAATGTTGGCAGTCACGATTGTAGCCTGCAAAATTCTGGTTAAAATGAGACATCTCCAAGCTGCACTCGACTTTTCTTTCCAAACTTATAAAATTTACAAGCAAATTCCTTGTCAGCACAAAGGCACAGAAAGAAAAAGAAAAAATGAATTTAGGACTATTCTTGTAAATTCTAAAAAAAACTTTGGAAAGGTCGTGGAGAGCTGGAAGATGTTTCATTTTGATCAGAATTTCGCAGGCTACAATCGTGACTTATTCAGAAAAAGTTTCAAAGATTTTTCGGAGTTTCTGGTTTTCTAGAAACCGGCTAGGAAAGGCCTATGGGCCAAAACGGCTATCATATTAGGGATCAGCATGGTCGACAACCTAGTATCCACTAGTTTTCGTTCGGAAAGCGCGAGGGCAGTTGGCGAGGTTACCTGGTCAGCCTCAATCACTCATGACCAGAAGATAACTTATCTACCTTTGTTATATACATAGAAAAGTTTAATGTCACTCCAGTGATGAAATTCTTCGAAGAATATGGGAAACGGAAAAATACTGAGTTTTGAAAATGAGTAAGAGAAAAATCACGTTTAAATCATACACTGAAAATGTGAAGCCTGATTTTCAAACACACAAACTCGCAGAATGACCTCGACAAAATATTTCCACGAATTACATTCATAATACTTTATTTCTAGAATTAGATAACGTTGCTTAGTAGTTTAAACATTTCCGCTCATATTTATGAGATATAGTTAAAAAAGTACATTTTTTTTGCCTGTATAAATGGCACCACTTTTGTTATTAAATTATAAGACAAACTATAGTGTTCTCTTCTATAGCTATATACTTACAGGGAAGCACATGGAAGTAATACCTCTTGTTTTCATTCATATCTCGATCGAAAGGGCATACCGAGATAGTAAAAAGCCTAAAAACATTCCGGCCCATGGATTTTCCTTCAAAAACTAGAACCATTCTCTATTTTTCCTAGCGGAAATAGAAGAAAAATGGAGAAATTCATAAATCAGTCAAATGAAAGTGTATCGCTTTGAAACTTACCTTGTATCAGTCTTTCTGTTCAAACACTCTTGGATTAACGGAATTTCCAACTACGCCCTAGATTCGTACTTGAGGCTCTTCAAAATAATTTGGCTCTAATGCTCTAATTTCTTACCGAAATCTAGTCAGACTTTCCGAATTAAGATAGTTTTGATTGCAGAACATGAATTTGTTGTCAAAATCAAAGTTTTTGAATGTGCTGGCGCTTAGGTTTTTGGGCACGTCTCTCGAAAACCTGAATTTGGAGAATAGCTGGAAACTATATTTTGCACAATGCAAGCATGTTCACAATTGAAAACTATCTTTACTCTGAAAGTTTGAATTGTTTTAAGCGAGAACTGGAAAAGCGATCGTTGATCGAAGGTGTACTTGTTCAGAGTCGAATTTACTGAATGATTGAACAGTCTCTAACTCGTAAACGAAACAAGCTACAAAGCTGAAACTTTCGGTGTAGTATCTAGACATGGAAGCGCTGATTGCAGGTAAGTTTGAAAGCGATATGAGTTCATCTGACTGAGTTGTGAATTTTCCTATTTTTCAGGTTTTTCCTAGGTAAAATAGAAAAATGGCTCTAGTTTTTGAACAAAGAAGCATCGGGCGGAATGCTTTTCAAAGACTTTTTGCTATCTCAATATACTCTGTCGATCAGCATATGAATGAATGAAAACTGAGTTAGACACTTCCATATGTTTTCTCGTTAGCAGTCTTCACAAAGAAGAAAAGAGAAAGTTATGCTTTGTATTCGCAGCATTTTTTTCTGCAAATAATCGCGCGCGCCCTTAACCTCAAATGCTAACTCATTCATGCTTATTCTTCAAAAACAGAATATATGTCTACTAAACTGAAGCAACTCATGCCTCTCCTTTCAAACAAACGTATCTATATTATTCTAGATGAACCACTATTTTATTTTTGGTTTTCCGTAAAGTATAAACTGTTCAGCATCTGAAAGGGACGTTTATATATGATTGTGACACGCTGTACTGAATATATAACACCCAAACGATTCTTTTGCATATCTTAATGACTGAATCCACTTGTCTAGACTTTCTGACTAGCTCAGTTTATAGAGAATTTCAAGGGCTATCCAGCGGTATATTCTTAAAATGTATATAAGTTTTCATTAGGATAGAAATATGACTAAAGGAGTGTGCTGCAGGTGTTTTTCGTGCTCTAACGCTTCTTTTGCATGTATGTGATGACTGACCCAACCAGTCAAGATATTCTGACTAGCTCAGTTTGAGAGAATTTGAAAAACTCAAAAAGTTATTCAAAATGACTTGGCCGATTTTAGGCGAAAAACAATGTTCTAATGAAAATTCGATATTTCAAGAAAGAAAAAGAATTTCGAAAAAAGGATATGTGGGTTTGTGCTCCGCGATTTGGTGGATCGAATGGCGTCAAATTCAAGGTTCCACCGTTCAAGGAAAAAAAGGAGATGGTGGAGATGGAGAAGGTCCACTTGGCGCTTGGCAACGTTGGAGATATTGTTCCGAAGGAAAATGGGCAATGGGATTCAGACAGAAAGTCGAGCCGGACAAAAATCAGGCGGGTGACACGGCTATGAATGCTTTAATTTTAATCTGCATATATTCAGATGGTTCAGGTTATGAAGAAATATATGAAATTCCAGGACATTGGGGTGACTGGAGTGATCCTTCTTCATGTCCATTAGGAAACTTTTTAGTGGCTGCCGAGTGAAGAATACAAGACTATCAATGTCCTGGAATTGGAGGTTGCGATGACACTGCAGCTAATGATGTACGATTTCAATGTACAAAATCTAAACAAGTAATAACTACATATAACGGAGGTCATTTTGGATACTGGAGACCACGTGTAACATGTACAGTTAACATAGCTATCTGTGGATTTCGATTGAAATGGGAAAGTAAACAAGGTGGAGTAGATGATTCGGCAGCAAATGGTAGTGAATTTGCATGTTGTCATTTACGTAAGTTAAATATTGAAAGTTTTAAGCCAGTCGCAAAAGTATTTAGTGCTGTTTCATTATTTTTTTTAGAGAACAGCATCTTTAAACGTTTTTATAAAAATATTTAATTGCTTTCGTTCCAGCTGGTTGTCAAAATAGTCCGTGTCGTGATAACACACAATGCTAGACCTTGGATTACGATTATTAATGTATTTGTACTAACGGAAAAGATGAAAAAAATTGCGCTGAGTTACAAGCTTTTTTCTCATAATCAATTGAGAACGTGCTAATGTCAACGTCTCTCGGCACTTTCAATTTAAATTTTAGAATACGCATGCATTAATGGTAGAGCCTGTGTGAACAATGGAAGATGTGTTACACCAGGAATATGTACTTGTCCACCAAACTTAATGGTTATAAGCAGAATCTTTTTTTATTTTCTAAATTTAAATAATGCTCCAATTTCTTTGCTTTTAGGGTTATCCTTGTGAAATTCATGCACGTAAGTCGATATCTACCTGCCTCTGTCAATACGCACTACATTTATTGTCCTTCTTTTTATAGTATCGTGTAGAACAAATCCTTGTAAAAACAATGCACCTTGCACACAAGTTGGTCATAATGTATCGTGCAATTGTAAAAATACCAGTTATCAAGGCCACTTTTACGGTACGTAGACTAAGTTAGTAAGCAAATACAAATCGTTCCAATTTTTATGTAATAATATTTGTTAGATAAATCCTGCTATAACGGAAAATCGTGTATCAATGGTGGTGTATGTGAAAATGGCAGTTGTCGTTGTAAAGAGCCTTACGGTGTAAGATCATAAAGAAATAAACTTTAGTCTTACCTTGCGCAATGCTTTTCAGTATTTTTTCGTTATTATTCATATAGGGCCCACACTGCGAGACGCTACTCGGTAAGTCATACTTTATTCATGTTCATCTGAAAAAATTTTAAAAGACTAATCGTTTTTGTTTCCGTAGAAGCAGATTCAACCAATCTTTGTAACCTTTGGGGTGATCCCCATCTGTTAATGTTTGCTCAGTATTTTGGCGCACAAGCAGATCAATATTTGTGCACTGGATCGGGAACATTTCCTTTATTATTTAATAAATTGATTAATGCTACAATTACTGTATCAGATGATGCTTGGTATATTATAGGAGTACGTAAAAGATAAATCACATCTATTCCTAAGCCAAAACAACGCGACACCCATCGTTTTATACTTTTAGTATAACATTCAATTTACCACTGATGCAGGACAAATCATCTGTTCAGTAAATGAGGCTGCCCCTAATGGCTGTGAAGATAGTGCTCTTTGTAAGTTGTTTTATTTCTAATTAGGAAAGTTTTTTTACGAAAATAATACCTTACTTTCTCTTACAGTTATTACTGTGGATGGGGGTTAAAGATTATAGAAAACGTGGTTTTACACTAATAGATATCTTCGTGCAACAGTTACTCCAAAAACAAATAGAACGGCACATAGCGTAACTAAATTCATCTCTTTTCAATGTTAACCGTTTTTGCTTATATCTTGTTATATTTTAAGAGTGGAAATAATGTTCCATTATATTATTACAGTATCCGTGTTGAACTTGATTGCTTTACAGATCTTAGAATGTCGACAGGCTTGTGCACTCGTCTTCTCATCGGTACATCATTTCAATACGAGCCGGCAGCTCGTCGTTGTCGAGGCTATAAGAATCCAGCTCAATTAAGATTGCTAAATCCAACAGACGAAGAGAAACGAATAAGTAAATTAACCGATGCCATATGTCAGGCTTACATTGATGAAGGAACAGAAGCAGCTAAACAGCTAAGTCTTCCAGTGGACAGTAGGAACGATAAATTTCTTATGGAAGATGTTCTGGATGCTTGTATCTATGATACTTGTACAAGCAGAGATAGAGAAGTATGTTATAGTCAAAAACCTTTTAGAAAATCTAATGTCTCCATTTTCTTTGCTTATGATGATAGATTGGTGCAAGTGGGATTGATGTACTATTGTCTGAAGGTATCAGATTTTTAATGCCAAAAAATGATAGTGACTATCTAATTTATATTACACGAGTAGCGATAGAAAAGGAAACTGTACTAAGAAAAACTGCATTCCGTATTGAAATTGTTGAATTAATGGATTCGGATAATACTTCAACCATTGGATAAAATTCGAGAATATGAATGAACCATCTCTTGTATTTATAATGTTTTGATTGTACATTCTTTTCTTAGTTTTGTATTAATTATACACTTAAAGTAAATCAACGAAATGTATAATCTGCGTTACACGATTTTTAAAATATCTTTTCCACTGAATATTTCAAAAGCAGTTTCTGTCACCGTTTTCACCGCTAGATCTACACAGCCGGAAATTTGCAAAAGTTTGGGACGCGTTTAAACGTAAATTGAAAACTTTGCCATTATCACACGTTTTTTCCCTAGACAACGTTCAACTTTTTTAACGCGTTGAAAACGTTTGTAGTTCCGGCACATATAAACGCGTTTATTTTTCGAAATAAACATTCAAAAATTGCCTACAACGCCCTGAAAAAACATGGAAAACGATTTCGTCGCGTCAGAAATCATGATTTTAAATGCAAAACTCGTAAAAATGCATCGAAACTAAGGAAAACGCGTAGTAATGGTACATTTTTTGATTGACACGTTTAAACGCGTCCAAAACTTTTGCCAATTTTCTGCTGTGTACTGTCTATTGGTTGCTTTGAAGATGAGTCTTCTGAATCTAGAATAAGAATTATCTATTAGGTATGTGATTATAGTTTACGAAAGCTTAGTTAACATACCTGTGCTAAATTGTCTTCCTATCACTTGTTTCCATAGAACAAGGATTGTTACAACCAGAACGCAGCCAATGACAATAAATGGCCAAAACTTAAACTTGTTAAAACTCGCAGGTTGCTTCAATGTCTTTCCTAAAATAGATTCATTTGTCCTGTTCAATAGTGAAATCGTTCAATGGCTTCTACTTTGAGTATTGAAATGTGCGATAGTAGCAAGCATTCCAGTTAAAACTAGTATGACGGTCAAACGAAACCAAACACGAAAAATATTCTTCGTCATCGATCAGCATTCTTTTGTCTTCGAATATACAAAGGAATACATCTTGAATCAAGTGTTCTACGACAGCGAATATTGGTTGAGGACGATGATACAGTTCCTCTAGAGATTTTAGAGCATTCAATCAAATAAGGAAAAAAGCACAGAAAAAGACTTATCTTACCTCTCACTTGCTGGTCGTCTTCGAGCCATTCGATCGAGTTTCTAGAAAACGGCTATCATATTCTGAATCAGCATGGTCGATAACCTGGTGTCCACTAGTTTTCGTTCGGAAACCCAGGGAGCAGTTGGCGTGGTTCCCTCGGGAGGGCGGTGAGGTGAGAGTTAAACAAAAAAAGAGAAGAAAAGACTTACCCAATTTTTGAAAAGTTTTTTTGAAGTTTTTAGTGTTTTTGTGTACTAAGAGAAGTACGGTAAACGATATTTACGTAAGATATTTGATCAGTGACATTACGAGCTGATTTAGTTCCAAAGAAAAAAATCTATACGACTGTGAGTATTATGAGGAATACTATGACATGAATACACAAGAGTATGAGGATGTTTAGAGCGAAAAAGCTCATACAACTGGAATGATTATATAATCTCTTTATCTAAACAAGAATATGATTTGTCAAGACGTTCACTAATTGTACTAATTCATTGAAAAACGTTTGACGTTGAGTATAGGTCGGTCACCAGGAGTATAAACGCTAACAAAAACGATGAGAGAATTATTAATTACCAGTTTGATGAACGCTATTCGACCCAAGTGATCTATTCCGCTGTCTACCGTTTGATGATTCTTCTTCGACATTGCCAAGACACCACCAACAGGCCATGTTACAAGACTACAAGTGATATTGTAATCGGTAAATGTACTTTCAAAAGTTTCCAAATGTTTCGTTTTAGTTATATGTAGCTCTTGAAGGAGAATAAGATCAGACAGAATATTATCTATCCATTCACGAAACTGTGCTCACTTCTGAGAAGAGCATATACCTTGAATGTTGTATGAATAAATGAGTAACATTTGAAAAACACATAAAATCATTTCTCCATTTAAAGCTGCTCACCATCTTCCAAACTGGAAGAAGATGATGATAGGTGCATGTGTTGCTTTTTGGATTCACGTTCACCTAGTGATAATAGGGATTCATCGTCAGAAAAGTCTACTCAATCACTTCACTTTTCTGACAGTATCGACTATAAAAAATGCCTTGCATCCAACCAAATCCAGTTTTCTGGAAAACTGGTGAACGGCAACAGTTAAAAGCTTGATACAAAAAACGAAAATGCTTCATTAAGTTTCCAATCAGTTCTGAAAATATGAAGCGGGTTTTGGATGGGAGCTCCATCGTTACCCATCGGGATTTCGACGAGATCTTCTACATAATCCTCAACTGAGGCCGAAGTGACAATGTCTTTCAGAGACTTGGCATTGGCTTAGAAACACAGATAGTAAACTTGGAAAACTTAACATAATTTCTTATAATTTCACTTAGTTCAACATGTCAAAAGGACAGATTTCCAAAATTTTGCATTGTTGTAAAGAAAAATGTAAAGAAACGTGCATTGTATGGATATATCGTTTTAAAGCTCGTCGAATTTCCTACAGTGTAAGATACGTATGGTACCGTGATCAATAGGTTCAGCCTTTGTAATTTTAGACGTTATGTCAGCTTTGCTGGGAGCCACAAAACTGGTATTAGGTAACTCCGGATACTCTCTAGAGTAAATGGAAACATAGGTTATCGACTATACTGAATCTTGTGGCAATGTTTTTTCCAGGAAAAGGCAGATAAACCTAGTGAAACTGAGTTTTAAGGAAAATCCACCAATTCTTTTATACAAAAGTAAAATACTCCAGCCAACTCAGTTTTTCATCGTCTATCTAGCAGTGGTCAAATGAATCTTATCTACTGTTTTAATCAAGAGAAATAGTTAAATTACTAGTTGGATAGGTCAGCAAGATAAGGATAGTAGAAAAAAACTTTTTTCACCCTTTTTATTTACGTTTTTCGCTCGGGAATGACAGAGAATAATAGAAACGTTTCGTAGAAACTTTTCTAATAAATTCGGTCATTGAAAATGGAAAATCCGGGTGGGCCAATTTTCCCTCTAATACGCCCCCGTACTTTTTCTGGAATATACATCACAGCCTAATTCCCTATAATCTCATATTAACTTCTTTTTAGCTTATCGGTGTTTTTAAATTCTGAATTATATAGCCATTAATTGCTAGAAAAAAGTTAATCAGTAAGTATAATTGCCGGAATTTTCCTCTTAACTTTCATGCCAGAAAAACTGATATTTGTCAATATCTAAATTTTTCTTGATCTTGTATTTAAAAGTAGATGAAGAGCTCTTTTTCGCTTTAACACAAAAAAATTTAGGCTCTCGACTCTATTTTATAGTAATTATTAAAACTTCATGATTCGGTTAAAAAAAGCTCTTACTGAATTATGGAGCGACTTATTTCCATCAGAACTGTACTTTACTACAATCATAACAAATTGAAAATAATTGAAGGAAAATTTTAGGATTTTATGGTTCTCTGAAGAACCCGTTTTCTAAATTTTCACTGTAAACGAATCACATTGCACCATTGAAGAACGTACTGTTGAAGGTTCATATGCCCGCTATTTTTTTAATATAAGAACAGGTCAAAAACTCTTTGATGCTCTGAGAAAAGTATTGCATATGTTCGGACACTAAAATCAAGTGCCACACCGTGAGAAAGTCAGTTCAAGTCCTACGTTCTTTTCGCAGAAAATTGATCATGATGCTTTTATTGTTCGCTTTCTCTAGTGTAACGTGCCATGCGGTATGTTCAGCTACTCTTGCAACTAACGTAGACAGTCGTTCATACTATTCAATCGTAAATAAACGCATTTTTTGTCGTACCGTTTTAAAAAGTAAAGTTATTTGTTCGGATTTTGTTCACATGAAATTGTTTGAAATAAGAATGGAAGGAAGTAAGTTTATCCGATTGAACGGTGAAACATGAAAAAAAATTTCAAAAACTGTTTCTTTTTAATCTTCTTTATGTTTTCTTTCGAAAAATGCATTTGCCTCCGACAGACTTTTTGAACGAGTTCAGTGGTCCGAAAAGCAGCTAAAAATGTGTAGCAATGGGTGATTCTCGTAGGTCCTTCAACGAAGAAAAACTGTTCATAACTCTTCCAACCGTATTTTAAGACCTAACTGTGTAGCACAAAACTGTCTTCATACATCGAGTCTATCCTATTTCGAGGTATATACCAGTGCTACTGATGACAAATCCAGAGCTGGCCCGAGCATAGGACCGTCCGGCGGGTGCTTCCCCCAATCCTGAAAAAATTTCCTTTTTTTGCAGTGGAGCCAAAAAAATTTCTTGCGTTCTGTACCATTTCGAACTGGCGACTCTTTCCCAATTCTAACCACTTCGTACCAGCCCGAGATAAACCAACTTCTCCAAAATTTCTTTATAACAGTCTGAGTAATAAAGAATGAAAACTATCTATTAGGGATAGGATATTATTGCAGCAGGATAAAAATTTTCTTTAGGAAAAAATGTAGTAGTCGTTACGCGAAAATAGACTGATATAACTGGGATTCGTTGGTAAAAAGAAGTGTTTATAAAGACCAAGCCCAGCATTTTTTTTCTTCTCCTCTCATCTTCACTGTTTACTGTGTTCGAAAGATTATCATTCTCGTTAATTTTAATTGATAATCAATAAAACCATCGTAAATAGACAGTGACCATAGATGTTTCAGATTTATTCTTCTAATGACAAGACAAATAATCAACAATTCTATTGTTCATCTTGCACAGCACGGTATCGTCTCTATGAGAAATTTATTGAGGTGTAAATGACTCTATTTACTTTACATAGTTAAGAACACATGCATCTCCGCATCTACTTAAGAGAGATCGAAAGAAAACTCGCAGAGGGAGAGAGAGAGCGAAGAGCATAATGATCATTCAATAATTAAGCAAAGATGGAATAATTTTATACAAGAGAGACCGAAGTTATTTTAAACAAAATGGATAGACAAGAAAAAGAAATTATCATCCTTTATTCGAGCGTATTGACTTAAAAGACGATCATACGGCAGATCCAGCT